ATCTATCTATCTATCTATCTATCTATCTATCTATCTATCTATCTATCATCTATCTATCTCTCCTATCTATCTATGATCCATATCTATCTCTCCTCTATCTCTTTCTATTCTTTCTATCTGTCTGTCTATCTATCTATCTATCTATCTATCTATCTATCTATCTATCTATCTATCTATCATCTATCTATCTTTGTATCTATTATCTCTCTCTCTCTCTCTCTCTCTCTCTCTCTAATCATCTATACTATATATAGCTATATATGTGGTAAACTATGTTTCTGACGCCCGTGTTCCACTCCCCCCTCCCACACCCACACGGGGATGTGTGGATGGGACACACACCTTCGCAACTGCTTCCTGAGTTATCCAGGGTAAATCCCTTCTGGCATTCGCAGTTGTAGCTGCCGGGGGTGTTCAGACAGTGTCCTTTGGACCCGCACAATGTTGGCTGAGCGTTGCACTCGTTGTTGTCTAGAGGGGATCAAAAATGAAAGGGAGTGAGTGATTCTAGGGAAAAGGCAGACACGGTACCAGGCACAGAACCAACTGCATGGTGGAAGGCATCTCTGAGCTGTCTGCAGCTTGGCTCGTTTGCTAGAGAGACCTATTTTCCAAGCAAGCACTTTCTCTAGGCTGTCTGTATTGAGAATGTGGGGGACCATGTTGTAAAACTGTTGTAAACAGCCCAGAATCACTTAGGTGAGATGGACAGTGTAAACACTTCATGAATAAATAAAGGTTGCAGGTGAATTCACACCTGGCACCTGAGCGCGGAGGGCAGCTTCAGCCAGATAAGCCATGACAGGAACACAGATAAGCCACGACAATACAAGATAAATCCACGATTTGCTCCCAACAACTTGCTGTGCGCAATTTCCCTTTTTAAACATTGTGTTCCCAGCTGCAGCTAATGAAGGGAATCAGGGCCCTTTCCTTCCCTGTAAGCCATGCAACTCCTGTTGCTCCCTTCTCCATTCCTCCCTGTGTGCCCTAGGATGAAGAGGAGGCGGGCCTGGGTCTTCCTCCGAATTCCCTCTTCCTCGCTCTACCTCTCCCCTGCTCTGCCCAGCCGGACTTTGCCCTTCCCCAGTTTCCTCCACAGCCAACAGAGCCACGCTCCCACTTCCTGTCAAGCTGCTCGGCCTCCCCTTGGAATCAGATTCTGACAAGGACATGACAGACGGTCTGAAATGGCCGTAAGTGTGAGGAGAGATCGTATCTCACTTCCTTAGTGCTGTTGTAACTTTGAGTGTCACTAAACGAGCAGTTGTAAGTCACCCATCATTGCCTCAAATTGGCAGCAGACTTTTCCCACCCACCCCTACTTAGGAAGGAGAGAAAAAATACGCGCAACTTGAAAATAAACGTTAGCAAAACGAAACAGACTGGCAGTCAAACCTTCCACTCAAGAGCGTTCGGGGTTGTTTTTTTTTTTCACCAAATGTAAGCCATAAACCACAATTTAATTTTCTTTTTAATCCTGGCTTAAGATCCGAACACACCCCATACAGGGGTGGGCTTCACATTTTTTAGCAAGGGCTCTCTGCCCTAATGACTGGCTTGGGTGGGCGTGGCTGTGTGGCCATGTGGCTGCGTGGGCGTGGCCAACTCAGTGTCACTTCTCACTACTTTGCCCTAATTATCTCTATCTCTATTTCTATTTCTATCTCTATATCTATCTATCTATCTATCTATCTATCTATCTATCTATCTATCCCAAAAAGTCATTTTATTATTATTTTTTTAAGTTTTTTATTTTAACAACAAACAAAACAACATAAGACATACAACATAAAGCATAAAAACATCATCTTTCTTCATAAATTTACAAACAGTGTATCGGTTGGTTTACCACTTTTTTTGTGTGCATCCATTTCCTAAATGCTAATATAATTATATTACATAATAACTCATATTATCAATCAATAATTGTATAACCTAATATCATCACTAAGAAATCATTTATCTATAATTTTATTAATTCATACTTTAACGAGATAACTATAATTTACTTAATTTATTTTGCAATGAATCGTAAGATCATACCAAATCTATCTTAATAAAGTTTTATAAAAATAATATCAAAAAAAATTATATCCTAAGTCTAAATGTTCTATTATTATGTTTTATTATCTAACCATTGATAAAAAAGATCCCAAACTTCATAAAATTGTTTATTTTCTTGTTCTCTAATTTCAAATGTCAATTTACTCATTTCAGCACAATCCAATATTTTCTTAATAATTTCTTCCTCTGATGGAATTTTCTCACTCTTCCAGTTTTTAGCAAATACAATCCTAGCCGCTGTTAATACATTTACAATCAAATACTTCAAATTTTTATTATATGTATCAGGTAAGATTCCCAATAAAAAAATCTCTGGTTTCAAGCCTATATGTGTCTTTATCATTTTTTCCAACCATATGCGAATTTTAGTCCAATATTTTCTAGCATCCTCACAAGTGTCATTTTATTATTTTGTGCATTTAATTTAATACTTTAATAAAAGACTGGGTGAAACCAGGCTTACTAGCAGTGACTGTGAGGGAAATCTTGGGAGTCATCGTGGAATTTCTGGTGAGTTACGTGATTCCTATTATTTGGGAATTAATCCCCTCAGAGGCTTGTGGCTATGTTAGCCGATTTTCTCAATGGCTCTCCCTCCCAGGCGCTGAGTGGATTGTTTATCTAGCTTGCCACACTCTTACGAGGTGTGAAATGCTCTTGGCTGAATGCCCAGAAGTTCAATTAAGCCTACTAAGAGCTTTCCCTGGCTGCTTGTCTTTCGGAGGTTATTAGGGGCTCTCCAAGCCCCGCAGAGTTTTAGCTAGGAGCTCTCCCGAGTCCCGGCAAGCCCCCCCCCCTGACTCCATGCAACCCCCAATTCTGTTTTTTTTGGGGGTAACGACACTTTAAAAGTCAGAAACAGATCACTCACCGATGCAGGAAGAATGGTGCTGGGTGAATCCCGGGGGGCATTTGCAGTTGAAGCCCCCAATGACATTCACACAAAGGAACTGACAATTGTGCTGCTTTGTGGAACACTCGTCCAAATCTGGAAATAAAAAAAAAAAGGCGAGATTACCAGAAGAAGAGAGATGGACTAGATGACCCTATAAGGTCCCTTCCAACTCTGATTATCGGTGGTAAAACAATTTGAATCCCACCATCTGCCCACGATCTCACCTTTGCATGTCTTGCCATCTTCCTGCAGGATGTACCCTCTGGGGCAGGAACACTGGAAGCTGCCCTTCGAATTCTTGCATATGAAATTGCAGGGCTTGGGGGACTGGCTGCACTCATCCAGGTCTAAAGGGGGGAGCAGGGTGGAAGGGAGATGGAGAAAGGGAGGAAGGGTCCAAGTGGCTTAAGGGGTCCTTCTCATTCCTCCAAAGCCCTCGGCTTTACGACCGAAGGTTCCGTGGCTAAGCGAGACCATGGTGTGTCAGGAAATTGGCGAGTCGGAAAAAGCGTTCCCGGGTTCTTTCTGTTTTGTTTTGTGTTTGTGTGAGCATGTGTGTGCTTGTTTGCGTGTGTGTGTGTGTGTGTGTGTGTGTGTGTGTGTGTGTGTACAGGTAGTCCTTGATATACAACCATAACAGAGCCTGCCCATTATGGAGACTGTCCATTACGGTTTTATGGTTGTTCGTTGTGATGGTTGTACATTCACATTCTCATATGTGACAGCCATTAAGTGAATGTGGTGGTTGCTAAAGGAACGCCGTTGTCATTAAACAAACACCTCAGTCATTAAGTGAACCCATTGTTTGCTATGGAGTAAAGGGTGTAGCTGTCAGGATTCCAGCAGTTACCCCAATTAAATAACTCCTGAGTCTTGAGCCCAACTTCTAAAACTTCAAAAGATTTATTGGGAGTTAACATGTCGGCATGACCTGGGTGTGGCCGACTCTGAGACCCGTAATTCACTGTCACCCTTGACCCTGGTTTTTCCCCACATCCTGGGTGTATTATAATTCATATTTTCCAACGAAACGCATCCATAGCCAAGAGTCATCAATCATACTCTCCAATTAGAGATCTGCATGGCATATAAACTCCAGTTGCTTAGTTATAATCTTTGCAAGATATGAATGGAATGCACTTTCGATTTCCAAGTTGCCGCACTGCTCTTTCAAACTCCTTCCCCCCTCTCTTTCTGTTGGCAACTATAAAACGGGCATAGAAATGTTTTATGAGTTGACAAGGTGAGCCTGCGCGCCACCGTTGTTAAGTGAATCCGTGCAGTGGCCGACACGGTGTTGAAGTGTGAATCTGGCTCCCTCCGCTTCCCCTCGGTGGTCTTGGCTGGCTGGAAGGCCTTAAAAAGGGGATCTCTACAACCATCGTAAAGAGGAACCAGGTTGTCAAGTGTTTCAAATTTTGGTCCTGTCACTATACTGGAATGGTCATAAGAGTGAAAAACGGAAGGAAAGTCACTTTTTCCTCCCTGTACTGTTGTAAATTTGAGCGGTCCCTAAAGAAATGGTCTTAGACTTAGTGACTTTGGGTGGGCAGGTGGGCTGAAGCCCGCTGAGGGGCTTCGTCTCTCGCTTTGGATGCTCTGATGTACAGCGAGGATTTCTTGATGCCCTCAGAGTTGGTCGGTGGAAGTCAGGTCATTAAATTCAAGATGGTGGCTGCAAGGGGGGGCAACCGGAACCTCCACCCCCTTTCCTTCTCAGCCCTTGGGCAGGGGTGAGATTCTACCGGTTCACACCGGTTCTATAGAACCGGTTGTTACGATTTTTCGGAGAACCAGCAAATCGTGCCCCCGGCTGGCCCCGCCCCTCTCTGCACACCCCTCCCCACCCGGTCAGTCCTTAACATGCTTGCGCGACATTGCGCACAGGCCCGACATTGCTCACAGGCCCGACATTGCACACAGGCCCGACATGGTGGACTGCGTTCTCCCCCGTCCAGTCACTCTTTAAGGTATTGTTTGCCAACGATCAGCTGTTCCTACGATCAGCTCTGCCGGGATCCCCCTCACTGTCTTACTGCTTCACCCAGGAGGCAAAAAGGGGTGCGTGGGGAATGTGGGGGGGTTGCTGCCTTCCTGGGCCCCAGGAAGAGAGCAAAAACGTTCCCCCGGGAGTCTCTCCTGAGGCCCAGGGGGCAAAAAAAATTGGGAGGGGTGCTGCCAAAAAGAAGCCACTCCCACCCAGTCACATGGTCATGCACACCAAGCTACATCCACAAAACTAGTTGTTAAAACATTTGAATCCCACCCCTGCCCTGGGGGGGCAATCTTCATTTGGGGGCGGTCTTTCCCCAAGACCCTTCTGCCCCAAGGGAATCCCCACACCTCCTCCACCCCTTTTCATCCTCCTCCCTCCCTCCCTCCCTCCCTCCCTTTAAAGTGAGGTCTCAGTATTTTGGATATTGGTGTCATTTAGGTTTTGTGTGGTTTTTACCTTTTAATATTGAAAGCTGCCCAGATTTAACCTTCTGGTAAGATGGATGGCCAGTACATTTTGAAAGAAAGAAAAGAAGTAAAGAAAAGAAAAGAAAAGAAAAGAAGGAAGGAATGAAGGAGGGAAAGGGGAGAAAATGGGAATAGGAATAACAGGAAGGAAGGAAGGAAGGAAGGAAGGAAGGAAGGAAGGAAGGAAGGAAGGAAGGAAGGAAGGAAGGAAGGAAGGAAGGAAGAGGGAGGGAGGAAATGGGAATGTGAATGAGAGGAAGGAAGGAGTCAGAGAGAGACAGAGAAAGAAAGGAAAAAGGAGGGAGGGAAGAGGATATTTGATGGGGAATGAAGGAAGGAGAAACACAGAGACAGAGAGAAAGAAAGGAAGAAGGGGGAAGGGAGGGAGGAAGGAAGATATTTGATGGGGAACAAAGGCAGGAAGGAAGGAAAAAGGGAAGGAGGGAGGGAGGAGAGGGAGGGGGGTGGAAGACAGGAAAAAGGGAGGAAGGAAGGAAGGAAAGAAAGAAGAAAAAGGGGAGGGAGGACGAGAGAGAGAGGAGAGGGAAGACGGAAGGAAGGAAAGGGAGGGAGGGAGGGAGGGAGGAAGAAGGAAAGAATGTACCCCATCCCCGTGGAGCAAAGCGGGGGCCCAGCCACAGCAGAAGGGAGCCCGGTGGGTGTGGGGATCAGGCCCCTTACCCTGGCAGAGGGTCCCGGTGATGTCCAGGGTGTAGCCGAGGTCGCAGTGGCAGCGGAAGGAGCCCACGGTGTTGATGCACTGGCCGTGGTGGCAAAGTTTGGGCAGCACTTTGCATTCGTCGATATCTGCCGGTGCCAGGGGGGAGAGAAGAGGTTGAGAAGTTTGTGTAGGTGGGGAAAATCCTCCATGAAAACCCAGCAAGACCAACAGCCTTCCCTGTCCCCCCACCCCCACCGAGGGATGGGGTGCAGAGGCCGGGCAGCCGGACCCCCTCCAAACCCCGATCTCCCATACTCCTCCCTGTCCTTGTCCACGAAAACCTTTGGAGTGGAAATGGGGCGATGGTGGGATTTAAGCCGGTTCGGAACGGTTTGTGGGAACCGGTTGTTAAAAAAAATAAAATAAAACTAAATCCCACCACTGAAATGAAATGAGGTAGGGCGCGAGGGGCAAGCCGTCCCCACCAGCTGCAACCCCCCACCCCACCCCAGAGAAATCAAGAAACTCCTGCATTAAAAGGTGCTGCCACCCACAGGTGATAAATGCTATGAAACTCCTTCTAACAGCAAGCAGCTTCCTCGGAATGAGTTACATGGCCTTACCTCAGTCGCAGTGGGGGTATTCTACCGGTTCGGCCCAGTTCTGCCGAGGAGCCGGTAGCAGCGATGAGCAGCGGAGACCAAACCGGTTCTCTCCACCGCTCTGCTGTTGGGCCCACCCGCCCGCCTGGGCTCCCAAACTCACCTTTATCTGCTAAATTTGAAGCGCAGCTGCTTCGCGCGGCGCGGAAGAGCGCCACGCGGCAGCTGCTGAAGCGACTGGGATCATGCAGGCTTGCAGGAGGCGAGTTAGAACATCTCTGCGCCTGCACAAAGTGCGCGTTTGGTGCGCGCGCGCACATGCAAAGTGTGTGCACGCGCGCAGATCCCGCCCACCAAGCCACAACCACCGAACCGGTGGTAAAAACATCTGAATCCCATCACTGCTCAGTCGGGTCGACAGAGAGAACTTGGGCCTGGTTAATCTCTGTCCTGTGCTCAGCTCAAAAGTGAAAGAGAAACTAACTTGCTTGTCTGCTGAAGTCGAGTTGCTGCTCTGCTCTGAACCTGTAACAGGTCTGCTTCTGTTTGAGTTTGTTCCATGTTGGAGGAGTCTACAACTGGTACTGTAAACTTTACTTCATATGTTTATAAAGAAGTTAAACGAAACCACAGCCGTCTGTGTTTTTACTTTTCTGGCGCTGAATTTATGTTGCAAAACTCTGAACAAAAGTTTTATATCAACATAAAAGGTGTCGTTTCAAGAGAAATGAACGCTGCCTCTTGGTGCACCAAGGGCTTCTTGGGGGCAGCAGCCGAGGGAGCTGCGGCTTCCATTCAGTTCAGGAAAAGCCCAAAAGAAGGAAAAATCTCTCTTTTTCTCTCCTTCCTTCCTTCTCTCTCTCCTTTCTTCTTCCTCTCCTTCCTTTCTTCCTTCTCTCTCTTCTCTCTCCTTTCTTTCTTCTTCTTGTCTTCCTTCTTGCTTTCTCTTCTCGCCTGCCTTCCTTTTCTTTCTTTCTCTCTTTGTCTTCTCCCTCCTTCCTTCCTTCCCTTTCTTTTTTTCTTTCCTTCCTTCCTTGTTCTTTTCTTCCTTCCTTTTCTTTCTCTTTTTCTTCCTTCCTTCCTTTTCTCTCTTCTTTCCTCCCTCCCTTGTCTGTGTCTTTTTCTTCTTCCTTTCTCTTTCACTCCTTCCTTCCTTCTTTCTTTCTCTTCTCTCTCCTTCCTTCGTTGC